TACAGAAAATCCAACCCAATCCAAATCGATAAATATTGAGGTGGGTTTTTCCAGATGCCATTGAATCAAAATTGGGGGGGGGGGGGGGGAGGGGGAGGGGGGGGGGGTGGTGTAGGGGTAGGGAGTGGTGCGGTGGCCTTGAGGTGGAGCTCTCGCCTCACAAGCTGGAGGCTGCGAGTTCGATACTAGGTAGAAGCGGAGATTTCTTTCCCTGGGCATACTGAGAAGATATCTGCTGGGGGAAAAAAACTCCGCACTGGCGACAGGTGTAGCATCCGGCCATTAAAACAGTCTGCTAGCTTCATTCAGTTGCCCAGACTCCACCCCGCAATGGATTATGGGGGTCGTTAAATGAAGGTGATAATGATGAATTAAAATCAAAACCGGGGCAAGGAGAAGTCAGTGGGTGCAGCTTGTCTCCTTAGATAATTTTATTGTCATTTTTTTGTGAGCACACTAAAAATGAAATCCTGATGTCTCCTTTCTAGAGAAAGTATATATCTACCCAAACATATACACATGCTATGTACATACACACATATATACCTGCACCCATACAATACAATACAATACAATTCAATGCAAACACACACACACACACACACACTAGCTAATAACCTGGCATTGCCTGGATATTTATTTATAGGGGGAAAATGTTCGGACCAAACGTAATTTCTAATGTTGGTTTTTCCCCCTTACCAGAAGGAGCTCCCTTGTGGAGTACTGTGATGCCCTTACCACGGCAATTCCACTGCACTGCACAGTAGAAGACATTTTGCGGCAGTACGGTAGAAGCCATTTAAAGGCACAGCAGGCTGCATCTTAGCAGAACACACACCCCCTGAAGGTGTTAGGGATGTCTTACCCCCACAGTATTTGTTTCCAGAGAATAAATCATCTGTGTATCAGGTTTGGTTGAAATCGGTCGAGGCGTTCCAGAGTTATGCTGGTACACACACGCACATACGCACACAGCCATTTTTGCATATGTATATAGATAAATATTAAACTCTGCCCATTTTGAATTCATAATGGAAAAAGGAAACTTGATAGTACGAAATCGATGCTACATGGAACAAAACTGTGACCGAATGTAGAAGTTCCGCTTTGGGTACCACGAAGCCCCCTCCCAGAAGGTAACGAGGAAAAGAGGTCGTGAAGAGGAAGTGCAGAGTCCCAGACAATCCTGGGGACGCTGCTCGAGCATCGCTTTATACGCCATGCCCCGGATAGAAGGGAGTGAACTGCCAATCATCGTTCCTGATGTCCCCCACCCCGGCCTCTCCCTCCTGCAACGCCCTTCCTGTCCAAAGCAGGAAGTGGAGGTACCTTGAGGTTCTGCCCATCGAAGGGCAGGGAGCCGCTGACCAGTGTGTAGAGGATAACCCCAAGGCTCCAGACATCCACCTCGGGCCCGTCGTACTTCTTGCCCTGGAACAATTCGGGCGCGGCGTACGGGGGGCTCCCGCAGAACGTGTCAAGCTTGTTGCCAAACGTGAATTCGTTGCTGAAGCCAAAGTCTGCAATCTTGATGTTCATGTCGGCATCTAAGAGCAGATTTTCTGCCTGGGGGAGAGGAAGAGAAGGGAGTGGGTGTGGAGGGGAGAAATTGAGAAGGGGCCGTTGCAAGCAAGAGGATTAGGGGATTGGCAGCTCCTCAAATATTGGAACTCTGTAATAATGTCACCTCTTCATCCTTCTCTTTGTTACACTAGACCAGTGATGGAAAACCTTTTCAGCTTCAAGTGCCCACTTTTGAATGTGTGTGCATGTGCGGGCAGAAAACCACAAAACCAGCTGGCCAGCGCACACGTGTCTGTTTTTTTGCTGGTTTTCATGCAATTTTTCAGGCTGTTTTGGCCCATTTTTATCTGTTTTTTGGGGGGGACAAAAACAGCCTGAAAGTGGCCTGTTTCAGGCGAGTTTTCAGTCCGTTCTCAGGTCACTTTTGGCCTGAAAAATGGATGAAAACTGCCCCCAAAATGGCCCCAAACCAGGTTTTTAGGGGTCGTTTTTCAGCCGTTTTTCAGCCCGAAAGAGCAGCTGGCAACAGCACATGTGCTCACAGAGAGGGCTTTGAATGCCAACTCTGGCACACCTGCCATCATGGCACTAGAAATACCCAGTTCATGCAACCGTTCTTTGTATGTTTAATCCTCTCCGTTGCTCTTCTCTGCACTTTTTCTGGAGTCCCAACGACTCTAGAAATCTAGAAAGGGCCCTTTTTCTCTTGGGCTGAACCTATTTTGCAGAAGAGCTGGCCGCAGGGCCAATGCCTTGTCTTGGGCGATGCAGTTGGCGGACTCTTCTGCCAGGGTGGCTTCTGCAGCTTAGGAGGACCCCCCTAAAGCCCCTTTTGGAGAGAGAAGACGATGCTGGTGGGTCAGGAGCCCCCTTTGGGGGAGCGCTGGAGGGTCTCTTCAGTCTCCACCTGAGAGCCCTTCAGGTTCTACTCCGATCTTGAGGACTAGACCCTTGTTCCAATTTTTTTTTTAGCGCTCCCCTGCTAAAACAGAGTGGGACTCGGCTGAGCGGCTTCTGAGCTCTGCTTTGGGCAAAGGGTGAACTCCGGCAGGTGGGTAAACGGAGGCCTTCCTTCCCGTTCCACTTACCTTCAAGTCTCTATGTACAATGAATTTTTGGTGACAGTACTGCACAGCAGAAACGATCTGGAAGGGAAAAGGGAAGGAGGAGGGTGAAAAACGGCAATTTCGGCCTCAGGGTAACCAGCCTCATTCAGGTATGGCCTCAACCCGGATATTTTTCAAACCCTCTTGAAGGCTGGGCCTTCCCTCCCGTCCCTTGAAGTTAAAGGTGAAGGATGGAGCAAAGAAGTGGATGCGGAGTGGTAGTGCCTTTTCCAAGAAAGCAAATCCTTACGATTTATATTGATATTGTTTCCCGATTGCTAATTTGTACCCCATGACTATCATTAAGTGTTGATCCTTATGATTCTTGAGGAATGTATTTTATTTTATTTTTATTTTATGTACACTGAGAACATCTGCACCAAAGACAAATTCCTTGTATGTCCAATCACACTTGGCCAATAAATTATTCTATTCTATTCTATTTCATTCCATTTCTCTTCGACTCTTATCTCTTTTCTTCTCCTCTTCTCTCTCTCTCCTCTATTCCATTCCATTATCTATTATCGTCTGTTCTATTCTATTATAGTATTGTATTGTATTCTACCTTCTATTCTATTTATATTGATACTGATAGTTTTCTGATTGCTAATTTGTACCCTATGACTATCATTAAGTATTGTACCTTATGATTCTTGATGAATGTATTTTATTTTATTTTTCTTTTACATACACTGAGAGCATCTGCACCAAAGACAAATTCCTTGTGTGTCCAGTCACACTTGGCCAATAAAGAATTCTATTTTCTATTCTATTCTATTCTATTTTATTTCATTCCATTCCTCTTCGACTCTGTATCTCTTTTCTTCTCCTTTTCTATCTCTCCTCTATTCCATTCCATTATCTAGTATCGTCTGTTCTNGGTTGGCAGAAGCTGGGACAAGGAACAGGAGCTCACTCCGTTATGCGGCGCTGGGGATTCGAACCGCCCAACTGCCGACCTTTCTCATCGACAAGCTTCAGCGTCTTAGCCCCCGAGCCACCGCGTCCCTTGACACCTGTAGTTACGTGATCCAGACACTTGCCAAGTGACTTGTATTTATGACGCTTGTTGGGAAGGTCAGTGCTAGAAGGGAGTAGGATTTGCAGAATAGAGGATGGGGAGGAGGGAATTGTGGGGTCCTTGATGCTCTCTGAGCTTGGTGGTTTTCATGCAGACGTTTCATGACCCGACTAGGTAACATCATCAGTTCTAGAAAAGCACTGTTTATATATGAATAGCTTGCTTGCAGAGAGTAAATCCTTCTTCCCTTCTGGCACTGATGAGGTTGCCTAGTTGGGTCTTGAAACGTCTGCAAGAAAACCACTGAGCTCACAGAGCATCAAAAAATCCTCCTTTCCACTCTGAGCTACAAATATTTTCTTTTCTTGATCTCCAAGGATCCTTTGTGGGGGGTGAGGGTGTGTGTCCCGAGAAACTCCAAAGGCGGGTGGTGGTGGTACCAGATTTCATTTGTGTTTCATCAAGGCCCGCTTCCCGGTGCTCACCTCTAAAGTGCCTCTCTTGCTAGGGTTCAGGATGAGGAATTTCTTCAGCAGGTTCTCGCAGTCCGTGGACATGTAGAAGGGGATGCGGTACTTCCCCCTCAAAACCCGTTCTCGCAGCTCCTGCAAAAGGAGAAAGGGGGGCAGGGGAAACAAACATTTATTTTAAGCAGGACAAGAAAAGCACTCGTGCGGGCGTGCACACTCTCCTTCAAGAGAGCTAGAAGCTTTATCTTAAGTGGGTTTTTAAAAAAGACGTTAATTGCAATATATTGTGTTTCCCTGTCTCTTTTCCCCCCTCCTTCTTGATTAAAAAAAAGAGACGGCTCCTGCTCGGAGTATGGAAAAGCCCTTCTCAAAGGTGCTTTTTTCAAAAGGCAACTGGAATATTTTATTTTTCTGGAGGAGGAAAAGAAAGAGGGAAAAGAAATAAGTCTAACTGCCTTTTGCAAAAGCATCTTCGAGACAACCTGGATGATGACTGAGAATCTCCCCCAACCAGAAAAGGCCCTTCCTATTCACTTCCCCAGACATGGCACAGGTAGTCCTCAACGTACGACCACATTTGAGCCGAAACATTTCGGTTGAAACATTGGTTACGTGAGTTTTTGCCCCCTTTTACCGCTTTCCTTGCCACGGTTCTTAACTGAACCACTGCAGTTGTTAAGTGAGTAACCCCGGTCGTTACGTGAATCTGGCTTCTCCACCAACTTTGCTTGCAAGAGGGTCGCAAAAAAGGAAATTGTGTGACCCCGGGCGACACAACGGCTGTCAAGGGTGTGGAAAAGGGGCCCAAGTCCTGTTTTTCAATGCCATTAACTTTGAACGGTCACTAAATGAACTGTGTTATGTCGAGGACTTCCTGTACCGGGTTCCCCCCAAAATAAGACGGGGTCTTTCTTTCTTTTGAACCCCCCCCCCCCCTGAAATAAGCACTTGGAATCATTTTTGGG